TTTGAAAATAGCCCTCGGCCGACCTCGAAAATCGGCGTCTTTCACTGATTTGGGGTCGATGAACAAAAATTCGCATAGCGGGTGGAAAAGAGAATTTAGAACAATTCTAACTGCAATTTTGTAGTGAGGATAGATAGTACTTTCGATGATAGGAATATAAAAGAAATCTATTTTTCGAGCCCAGATCGAGTGGCACGCTGTTACAGAGACGCCCTCTTAAAGGAGCCTTGATAGCAACACTTGTACTAAACATCTCCTAGTAGTGTGCTTTTCCTTTTCCTTTCCCAATTTCCATTCTCGACACACTCTTACGTGCATATGTACTAAGCAATCTGTAATCATGACATTTTCCCATTCTTCCTAAAACTACGAACACACGATACATGAATGCGCGCAAAGTTGCCGGCAATCAATGATGCGAGCCATGTCACGCTATGCAACGTGTTGCACGCGATGGTGCTGAAGTAGAAAACGATCCAACTTCATCAATATGGCCTACAATATTGCATGCAATGTTACACCGTGCGTCTATTTGTTAACACATCCATTATATTACTGAAAATTATGCAGTCACATAACAGTCACATCAAGTTTGCCTCCTAAATATATTATAGTCATTAATATAYCCCGTTATGTACAAATTCTCATTTATTAACTGAGCAGTTGTTGCTATGTCGATTCTTACTAACCTCCCTTCTTCAGCTCTTCTACACATGAGCTTGGGAACCATCCTGTTCGATTATCAATGCGCCCTTCCCAGAATCCCTTCTCGCCAACGTACAACACTGAAAAATGAATTATATAATACAGAAATTTAGTACTGAAAAGAAAAGTATTGCTTGCGCGGACATTGTTTGTTGGTTAAGATTCTACAATAAAACTTCACTTTTTATAATATATATACTATATACGTTATACATTATACATATAATACATACAAAAATTGATTGCAAGTGCCAAAACTGAGAAAAAATAGTCAAAACAAGAAAGACAATCAATGAATATTGCATATAAAAACAAAAATATAGGAGAAAATATATCATTGATGTATAGTGTATATTACTAAAGACATTATAAAACTATTGGAAAAGCTTCTGGATAAACAAACTATACAATGATAAGCTACGATACAACGACTAGCGTGCTTATTTCTGTTATTTTTCATCATTAAATAACATTTAAACATATATCCCAAATATCCGAAGTGCTAACAAATACTTTTAATGGTAAAAGACCAATTTTCAAGTGAAAGAAGAAAAAATACAGTAATATATTTTTTTGTGATTTTTTGGAACAGTCAAAAATTAAACGGGTTTTTGGCTACTTTGCTATTGCGTGACTTGACAAATTGAAAGATCAATTGACGATGGACGAGCACACTACTCAATATAATGAGTATAAAATGACCATCACAGGGTCAAGTTTGATGGTTTTATCGCTCTGACGCAAATTACATTCTATAATCTTAAGATGTCTGAGTATAAAAATGAGCATAAAACAAAACATTGGATTATGCACACGATATTCATACCGTTAATCAAAACAGTTGGTGAAATGATTAAAAAGACGTGATTTAAGATGCAGCAATCATCATTTCCAAAAGAACTCTTGATATGTTCCCTCATAATAATATTTAGTATCATGTTGAAGCAGAATGGGGAAAATAAGTTTTTTTTACCAAATTAATCAACTATAGATTGACCAGCGAAAATATGTTTTGGTATAAAATAAAACGTATGCAGCTGTCAAAATACGTCTCTCTCTCTCAGAAATTAAATAGGTAGTCCTTATCTTTTGCTGTTAGGTTCTTAATATGCATTTGCAGTTACAGTAAAACGATTAATGCTTTGATATATATTTTAATACTTCTAAAGCATTGTGATTTGTTGGGCACAAACAACGAAAGTTTTCGTCCAAGTTTTATAATGTAGAATAAGTTGATGTTTGAGGAATATGCTCTGGATTTGGAACCGGCCGGCAAGGAATAAAGATGTTATCGAGATTAGGACAGGATAAATGGATTTGAGTCTAAACGGACTAATATTTGTCCAACTAACACTAAAAAAACCCGATTAATATCAAAGACAGAAAGACATTAACTAAATGCAAATAATACTTCATTGAATCTATAGAAACAAGTTTGAACTCTGAAAACAATCGGTACTGTGATTSGAACTGTATAAGACATTTGAATAACTATTTTTTGCTCAATTTGGTCCACGTTAATCATTTCGTAGCGACGATTGTTCGGATTACTGATCATTCCAACCGCAGACTTGATCTACTATAAAGCTTGAATCGGATTCAAGTCATTTGATGGCTTCTTGTCAAAAGACGCTAAACAATATTTAAACTTCATTTACACATCACTTACCATCATCATTTAGAGAATTATCGTTTATAGCATACATATTCTTCCTATCCCACGAGAATCCCTCTTGAATGGCGCCTTCTTGGACGCTTTTGGACCGATTGAGTCGCCATTTTCGCTTCTCTCTAAAACTTGCCGAACGTTTTCGAACTTTTGTTTCGTTGTTTGTAAGCTTGCCATCGGAACTCCCATGAAACATTCTAGCCAAACCAACCAGCCTTTTCTTCGTTACAATACCGCTTAGTCGATTCTGCCGGTGGAAACCGTTAAAAATCCACGGCAAAATCAAAACGTTTAAATTCTTTTTGCGTGAGTTATTCCGATAAGACCAAACTAAACTAAGTGAGGGTCCATGGTCAGAATTATATTTTCTAGTTGATCGCGCAGCCAAGAAAGACAGGCCTTCTGGAAGCTGAATTTTAATACACAGTCCTTTGAGGCGTTACTATTAGTATAGTGTTATTGTCTGCCAAAATCCAATAGTGTTGTTTACAATATAAAACAGCGCACCTGTAGACTTGAACTAGTCGCTCGAACAGGACAGAACAAGCCATTAATAAAGTTTGCTAAGAAACCTTATTCACAAAAGTCTTTTTTCTCGCTAAAAGGAACGATTTGTCAGCCGAAAGAAATACGTTGTCACTAATAACGCGGGAAACAAAAAACTGATCGTGGCTCATCAAAAGGGCACGTCAATAGAAACTGGTGCCAAATTAGCCATACTCAACACCGAATAATAAAAGATCTATAGAAATGAATATCAGCAATGAACGATAATCCTTAACATTTGGAAAAGACATAGCATTTCAACTTGAGAAAGCTCATTCAAAACAATAACATAAATGCATTTTTACTCGATTGGGGTAAATTAGGCAATACAACAGGGCACAATGTATGTAGGCTCAAAGTGGTGTCATGGAGGATTTTTAAATAGTGTAAGTAACAAAATAAATTAACAGTATAGATTATTCCTTTTTGATTCCGAATCATGAACGCACAGCAATGTAATCAAACAGAAATCCAACATTTGCCACAGAATGTAAGCATTCCCAAAGTGGATATACATATAGGGAGAAAAACTTATTCTAGTTGGTAATATTTTTATTCTAATAAGACAATGCAGAACTTGGACTCATCGTACATCCCTAAAATCATATCTAGTATGGCATTTTTTCAGCATACTTTAAYCTACACATCTACCAACAAGAAAAAACTAGAATTCACGACAAAATACGCGATTATACGACAAAATATACTAAAAAATATATTATGCGTTTCCTGTTTCCATTCTAGGTTCATTGATTAAAAAAACTTTCCTTCGAAGGTTCATGAATTTCCACGCGGGACAAAAATGACGATATGTTGCTTTTTTGAGTACGATCAACACAGGCATGGTACAGAAGTTAAGCTCGATTATTCCAAAAGTGCATCGTATATTTTGCCGAATTGTCTCGTCAATTCCATGCCTCGGGGCACACTAAAAGCGAAAACAACATGAGAGTCTTATCGGAAATTATCAACAGAATACTAAAAATAAATTAGGGTATTAAAATCAATTTTTCAGTGTATCAAAACATTTACAGGCTTGATTACATGGTGTTTACACCACACTGAAGTAAGGAATACAAATTACTGAATATACTGATTACCTCAAGATATATACACTTTGTTTTTATAAAATTTATAGACGGGTTAGAGTGTAGTTTTCTGATCTAATAGTCCGATAACTGACAATCAATTTGAGATTTGCGTTTAGTACCAGATTCCTCTCCTTCCTTGTTACCCTTTTCCACAAGAAAGAATGTATATGGCAAAAGAGACTAACAAAGCTGATCTTAGAAAAATGTTAGCCAATCAGAATAGAGAAAATTTGCAAGACTAAGCTCTCACTTTTCCTCTTACTGAAATTATGGACTATGCATCAAATAAAAGAAGAAAGTTGCTTTATAACAGCGACAGAAAAAAATAAATGAGTTTCATATTTTCATCACAATGATGGGCATCGTTTGATTTTTTTCTAGTATGCTTCATGACACCTCAGTTTCGCAATGACGTCATTCTACACCACTATTTCCGATCAGCTGAGAACATTTCACGGAATATAAAAATGTTATCAGTTATCTGGTTGGTAATATTGTTTTGTCGTCGTGGTATACAATAGCAAATGTTAAGCTGAGATTAGCCTGGAGTTAAATAATGTTATTGTTTAAGCTTTTGCTTAACCACAGAAGTGAGGCTAATGGTGTAACGAAAATACAAAACTACTGTGGTCCGTGTTCGAGCCCTGGCTCAGACTGGATCATATGTGAGTTGAGTTTGTTTGATGTGTTGTTCTCTCCCTTGTCACGAGGGTTTTCTCCGGGATCTCCGGTTTCCTCCCTCCGTAAAAAGCAACATGTGAACTGAGTGTTGTATGTTGTAAATATAGAATGTAGTGGTAGTGCGTGTGGAGGGAACCTCACAGAAGAGCCCCGCATGGGGAGTGGTGGTTGGAAAATATGTTGTTTTTTTTAGCTGCTGAATAACTCTGCCGCTTAAAATATTCATTCTAGTAATTTTACAAAAAAACTTTATTTAAGTACTGTTTTTGGATCTTTTGGCCCACATGAGGGAGGCTAGAATATGTCAGAGATTAGAAGTCTTAGATGAGACTTGAGGCATGACTAACTTACCTTCCACGATGTCTCCTTTAACCACCTCTAATTCTCCACCCATACTGGGAATGTAATCTCTCACAGCAATGTAACGACTACCAGGTAAATTAGCATATAGTCTTTTCCTGATCGTTGCAGCACCGGAAACTATCTTCACTGGTCGCACCATCCTATGCTCCACATCACGTGATCTCCTGTTTGTCTTAGCACGTGACCTGCTCTCATTGGCGGTCTGCTCCAAGATTTCCGAGTCAGAACAGTACGAGGAATCGGACGTTGTCGAACATACTGACATACTCCTTTGGACACGGTCATTGACAAGCCCGTTTTCCTCTAAAGATATGGTGTCAGCGTTACTGGATCGATGACTTCCAGACGATGATCTTGGTGAAGAAGGAAGCGAACTGTCACTTTTGGTGGATGCATTTGATTCAGTCCGAGGAAACAGCGAACTAGCTTTTGGTTTTTGGACAATTTTTCGACGACGAGTACTATAAGATGGTTTTTCTGAGATTTTAACTATAAGAAAAAAACTACAATTAGCGCTCAAGTGGCAGCTAAGAACACACGCTGGGACTTCAGGAACTTCAGGAAGGGAGTAGAGTTGGAGATTACTTACAAGGCATGGTATAATTATAATAATGTACAGTAACTAACCTATTTGTCCATCAGTAAATGTTCTTATGAACTCTGCAAGCTCTCTATTACCGGCAACAGCTGCTACCTGAAAAAAAGAAATTATATTTTTTCAAGGAAAGATGCATCAAAAGCGAATATTTTTATAAGGTACAGAAAAAAGTTATTGAATTGATCATTACTGTAAAATAATAGTGCTTGTTGTGATCAGATGGTGATACATGTTGTATTGTGACAATCCTATACAGTCATCTATCACATACCTCATATGCAGATTGGTTAGCATAATTCAATATGTCTCGTTTTGCTCCTCGGAACAAAAGCACTCTGGCGCATTCCTCCTAGAGATATCAAACAAAGAAAAAAAAGTTTAATGCATAACCACTTAATACCAATGCTAATACCAAGCTTTTCGTGAGASAAAGGGATGCCGAACTAGCCAACCCTTTTGTCACTGCTTGGTGGTACTGCTAACTTTGGCTGTGACATCTACCCATACTAAGCCTCATCCTTCTCAAGCCAGAGTGTGCAAACCATGCTCCCATACCATCTCAATTAGAGACCAGGATCAGGGATTTTGTTTTAGGAGGGTGGTGTATCTCTTATGATAAGGACGTTTTCAAACCAACAAAAAACTAGATGTACTTCTCCCCTAGATTCGCACCTGCCCATCACTTTTTCATTTGCTGATAAAGCTTTAGAGAAGAGGATCCTATTTCCCAAGAGATTTAAAATGAGGGGGGAAATATTCCCAAGGTCAAGGGTCCTACACAAACCTGATTACTGAGAGCAGTGATRTGTAGTGGTGTATTCCCTGAAGCAGTGGTAGCATTAATATCTGCTCCATAGAATATCAAGTGCTCCAAGTGCTGGACAAGACCCTTTTTGCAAGCCTGATTCACAAGAAATTACATATGGTTAATAATTCAAACAAACATCATTCAAATCTGCGCATCATAACATTTGAGCTCAATAGAAGTGAATAATTCCATCAACAGTTTAAGTTAAAGATCTGGGTTTCGACCAAAAGACATTTCTAAAAACCAACCATACTCTATTCAGGGCCGTAGCCACAAATTTCTGATTGGTCTGGTTTTCAAGGTTTTCGGTTTTTCTTGCATTTTAAAAATATTTTTCTTATATTTTTTTCCCATAACCACCATACCGGTGGTTACGGCCCTGCTATTTCTAATGTTAGTTTGATGTCTGGTTTGAATTTTGATGGGAAACCTTTTTAATTTAGCCCTGCAGGCAAGAACCCTGGGCAGCATTAGTCCTAAGAACAGCTGTGAAGGAGGCTAGGGTATAGCATGGCTGAATTCAAAACCCAGGACAAGTTTTCCATGGAAAGTCAAACCTACATCAAACATTAGAAATAGGGCTTGGTTTGTTTTTAAACTAGTTAAAACACACATGTTCGGGTTTGTATCGAAATTCAAGACCTCRGGCCTGTAGCCCTCAGTCTTGAATTTCAATGTAAGCCGTCGCCCTGGCGTTTTAACCTTTATATACAACATACATGGTGTATTTCTTGCATTCCTTGGTGGTCTGTTACTCCTATCTCAGCATGTTCATCTAATAGAAGCTGACAGCAGTATGAGTCTCCTCCATATAGCACAGTATAGTATAATGGTGTTAGACCCTTTGAATCCATAAAATACATGGTATTTAACATTTTATACATCATGATTGTACAATACATACACTATACATATATTTTGCTACATACATGTATGCACATGGTCTCAATCTAAAGTGCAAGTGTATAGTAAGTCTGTTCTGTATAGGCTTTTATAAGTAGAAAATTTTCAGGTTTCAAACAAACCTGACTGTTGCCATGTCTCCAGACATTTTTATTGGTTCCAAAACATGAAATTTTACTACAAAACGTAGCCTTACCTTTGGGTCTTTCATGTTGGGAGGACAACCTAAGTCAAGCAAAATCTGAAAAAGAAAGAAAATATTTTTATTGGTAAGTGTATTTTAATATCATTACAATAGAGACTGCCTGCATATTACCTTAATTGATCTAGGTCTTCCAGCAAAAGCAGCTTTATGCAGGGGAGTGAGACCATCACCAGATCTATAGTCAAGATGGGCACCTCCACTGACAAGTGCAAGAATAAGATCTTTTCTCTCTTCGCCATTCACTGCTATTGTCAAAGGAGTTTCTAAAATCAAACAAAAACATGCACGTAAGAAAGTTTGCAACATATTTTAACCCTCATTGGTTGTCTTATTCACTAAATCACATTTGGAATAGACTCAATTTGGTTTTGTAACTGCTTAGAACTAAGATGTTTTGATTAATCAAAACATTTATTAATATTTATCTTGAAATGTTAACTGTAATAAAGAAATATTGGAATGGAATGACCTGTGAACTAACAAGRAAAGGAACTAAAACCACAATAAATTATATGGATCTTTTTTAAATGTTACACATAACAAAGAAACAATATTTAAAGGAATGAATCATGGTCTGTCAAAATGGGAAAATGTTTGTACAACAAGCTGTACTTGCTGACATTACAAGTCATTCTCTTTCCAAAAATACAAATCTACAAGACACATTTGGATCATTATGTTTAAACATAACTACATTAAAAGTGATAAACTACATACCTCCAGTCTTGTCATCCTGGAAGTTAGGGTCCAGTCCCTTTTCAGCCCACTTTGTTACTTGACTGACCAAGTTGGAAGAGACACAGTCATAAAGCTTCTTTAGATTGGACTAGGAAATTGACACATAAAGATTAGAAATTATCAATATGTTGAATAGTGGCTGATACAACATGATGTACACGTATGAGTTCTCTCTCAGTCCATAAAAATCATTTTCTAAATTCCAATTGGAATAGAGTGGAAGAAGAGCCACTCTGCAGAATCCACTCTATAAAGTCCTTTTTTTCCCAAACACAACATGAAGCACAAGTTTAAGAAATGATTTCTCAAGCTCATTTATGAACATCCAGCTGATTAAAAGTACCTTGGTGTGTATTTTTTGCAAAGTTTTGCCATCATACTGCAAGGACTTGTACACTCTTCTCTTGTATTTGAACTGTAATAAAAATATAAGTTTCAAAAATGCTAAATGTATGTTAACAGACAAACTGATAGAATACTGGGGAAAACCCAAAACAGTGCAAAAAAGTGAGTAAATGTTTTAAGGAAATACAGTGGAAATTAATTAGCATATTTTAGAGGGTTTGATTTATTGGAAATGCATATACACTTATTTCAATAAAGTTAGTCACCAAAAAACCTAGAAAGCTGAGATTACTGAGGATCATGGGTAACTTTTAATATCAAACAAGTAAAGCTTTTGATACAATTTGCTGCTTGAGGATGCTCAGGAGAGGTGAGACTGTAACTGGTAAAAGATCTAAAATCTGTCAACAGTTATTAAAGCCGTTGAAACATGTAAAATATATCTACCCATAATCCTTGCAGGTCTCAGCTTTGTATCTTTTCAGGTGACTAACTTTATTGAAATAAGTGTACATTCATTATTACTCCTGCCAAAAAACATCCTGATTTATTATTTGATTTATTGATCAATAACTATGACTGGACAAGATTTGTCAAATTCTTGCCAATTGTAAGCATTCTTAGAAAAAAACAGTCTTCAGGGTCTTGCAAAAATGCAGAGAGGCCTTGCTGGTTAAATAATTTGATAATATAATCGAGTACAGTATGTAAACTAACATGTTTTAGAACCTCAAATTCAAGGTGAAAGCATGACAGAAAAAGTAATAAAATTTGGCTAGAAGTGAAAAATTTAAAAGTTGATTTAAATTTGATGATCTATTTTGAGTAATGTTTTGAAAATTGAGCTGACAAATAGTGCCGAAAACCACATAAAAACAGAAATGGTGCACAAATTTCAACTCTATGTGCCCCCAAGGGTGCATGAATTTTCCAAAGGATGCTTCCTGATAATTTTAAAAGATTTAGAGTACTTTTGAAATAATAAAAGTCGCATTATAGTGTCAATAAACAAGGTGAAAGTCCACAAGAAACGACACGAATCGAACATAGCCGCCATCTTGTATCAACTCGCCAAGATGTCTGGGACTAGTCTGTGTCAACTGACCTTGTTTATTGGAGTCTCAAGTATGGCTGCCCAGCGAAAGTTTATTAAGTTGTCATTACTAATAAAACTGTCTTACATTGTTGTTGATTTGCAACAGAGTTACTGGCAAAAAACATTATTATCCTTAACTTTGTTTTAAGGTTTTGGGAAATGCCCCATCCAGTTTTCTAAATGGCCCTATGGGTTGGTGAGCCCTTCGACCCCCTGAATGGATTTCCTGGTCAGAACACTGATGCCCTGATAAAATAATGTAAACAACACAATGTAGTACCTCAAGTTCTGCTGGTGACTTTCTCTGTGGATAATCTCGAAATGTTCTTTCTTCATCCAAGAACTTGCCTGACCGACCATTACAAGGTGGCTCATAGAAACCATAATTAAGCACATCTTTCACTCCCTATGTGTAACATAATATTTAAGCATTAAATTTAAGAAAATCGGGTTGGTGATATTGGAGCTAATATTGGCAAGAATAAAACAACTCGTAGTACAGAGTGTAGGATAACCCCAATTGCCAAAAGCTTCAAAAAATTATAAACAGTTAAGGTGCAGTATTTAATATGTGTTGAGCAATAACAAACTTATGCAAATTTGCAGAGCAAATCTGCTCGTTTTATTACTCCTTGCACAACAAATTCTCAAGAAACTCTCTTTACTCTTTCCAACGAATGAAGATTTGTTGCATGTAGAGTAGTAATACAATCAACATTTTGTTCTGTATCTTACAATGCAACAATGTTGTGCAACAAGTACCATCATTTTGTGGGCCTTATTATCATGCCTAAATTTTAGTGGAACTACTACATGATTGTACTATTTTGATTTTTTGTGACTGTCCAATCCTCCCTGACCCCTTCCTCTAGGGGGAGGATACTTTCTCTTGTATTTGAACCCATCTTCTCATATAACTAGACTCATGCCCCCCCACACCCTCMCCCTCCCCAACCTCTACTCATGAATTTTTTCTGCATTAATCTTATCATGTTCCAGAACAAAACCTATGGCGTAAAGGTTATCAATATTTTTCTAGACTTAGAGACTATGATCATTGTAAGTTTTGACCCTGTCAGACATTCAGACATACAATACCTTGCCTATCTCATTTGCGACCCGAAGTTTGGCATACCATACTTTATCATCATTGTCAAAAATATATACTCTCTGTAAGAAAAAGTTGCACCACAAGAATCAGTAAAATGGACAGTACTGTATGTAACCATACATGCATGAGGAATTATTATTATTACAACATAATTATGCCTATGAATGGACATTCTGAAGGAGAATATAGCCTTTTGCTAAGATGCAGGCATAGTATAATTAATGATTGCAATAAACTGATTGATGATGGTAATCACACTCCTTTGAACCAATCAGATTGCAGGATTTGGCGTTATTACAATAAGGATATGATTAATAGAAAAGCTGAACCATAACAGTAGATGGCAACCCACACATTATTGGTTTTTCATTATTGTATGAGCCAAGTTAGGATGTAAAAATGTTTATTTTATTTAACAGAAAAACCAGACACCCACGATAGAAAAAGGCTTTCATATGATGTACTTAAGTCTCTCAGAATACTGACAGTTGCTCTATACTTTCCCTCTTGACTCAGTTACCAGGCACGCGGTCATGAAGAGTGGGATTACATGTAAATTTGAGGCAAACTAACCACAACTGAAATGGTTTTAAAGAGCAATATACATAATGAGAGACTGCAAACATTCAATATGGGGACAATCTGGATGCTCTCACCAACATGACAAAACCATCTGTGCAATTTTCCTAGATAAAACCTACAGAAAACACTGCAGGCAACCTTACCTTCAACAATCCCTCTTTTAGCTTCAAGCTTACTTCCACCTGGAAATCTTTCGGCTGGTCACTGTTGTGATTACTGATTGTCTTTGATTCATCCTTCATTATAACAACCATAAGTATTGGTTTTCAGCTCTTTTGCTTGAGTTGTCAGGGTTTACAGTATTCTTAGGGTATTAAACTCACAGCTATGTGAAGTCACAAAGAAGAACTTGAATAAAAAACTTGGCCATTTTGTTGGTGATTTTTCTGTGAAAAAATAATATGGAAAAATGACTACAAAAAACAACATAATTATTTATATGAATGGAGAGTGGAGACTCAGAAAGGAATGAAGAGATAGAAGTTTAGGGCCTTTTTCTGAATTCACACAGTTAACAAAATTCGTAATTGAAAAGACAAGACAAATATAGGTTGTAATTTTCAAAGTCAGAGCAATTACTAGACATCTATCCAAGTCAAGCTAATATTTGTTACTGCATGTTGTATTGATAAAAAGGTATAATTAATGAAGAAAGAGACAAAGGTCTGGTTTATGAATGCATAATACTACACTACTTGCCAATAAATAATGACTAAACAGCAATTTCCAATAGTTGTTACAGGTAAAAATTGATTTAAACATGAAAAATCAGATCAATATGACAAGGTATATGACACTTTGAGACTCAAATACTGTAAAGTGATCAGTTTCTACTCAAAGATATGACATCAAGCTATTAAAATGTCATGGATGAGTTAGTCAATTTCATGTTATTTAACATGCACCACCAGAATGATTACAGTCTGACAACATCCTTGAACCCAGACATTGGACTGTTGTGAACAATATCATTTTAAGTTCAAGTAATCAATGATTTGAATCCCTAGCAGTGACAAAATGAAATCCAGTGATGCATTCACTCCATGTAAGGTCAAATCAAATGACATAGCAAGAAATGTAAACTGAAACATGTCCATGTTTGACATATATCATACAATAGTGCCAAAACAAATTTGTATCGCTTTTTCGATTTCAATTCAACCAAAAAACAGCTGATTCATAACTTCAAGCTACGTGTGAGTAGATTGTGATTTTATTCCACCTAGCATTAAAAGAAAAACATCTTTTTAAAAATGTTTTAGTTTTGAAATGTTACCAAAGCAAAATAAATTTATTACTTCTAAAAAGTAAAACTGAAATCAGGTCTAGGAGTGATAAAAAATATAAAGAATCTGAATATTTCAGAAACAAACTTTGAGTTCATTACATTTTAGGTGCTTAACTAATTTAACAAACTTTTTGAAGTCTTGTCACTAACAACAATAAAAAAACAACAGATTAATTAATCTTGGCTTGTTAAAAAAGTGTTTGTTTTGGAAACATATTTTAATTTTTGAACATCTTTGAGAGATGAGATAAACACCTGGTTCAGTAAAAGAAGAAACACAATAAAAGATGGAGTGACATGTGGGCTGAAACGGGAAAATACACACAAGCAAGAGGTCTATTTTACAATACTAACATTTTTTTTTGTATCAAAATATCAGCATGTGGAGAATGTGAGTGGGAGACAAATTGATGGACCAAAATTTCAAGTAATTAATATGACTTTAAAATGATAGTACAAACAGATGATATAAATAAAATTAATATTCAGTATGATATCAATGACACTAAATCCATAATTTTTTAATAGTAAATTTATAATATTAATTTTCTATGACACATGAAAGGTAAGGGACTGGTGATAAAGAAAGGGGAGAGGGGGTATAAAACTGGATTAGAAGGAGCTCTCTTTTTGCTGGCCCAGTATAAAATGAGGTCAAAAAAGTAATGCTCTCAAGTTTCCATGCAGGAAATGAAAAATGGCTCATCTATTTTAAGAAGTTCAAAATTGTSKGACCCAACCTTTACTTTATGACCAGTCTCTAACATAGTATGTTTAAAGAAAACATTTTCTTTTAATAAACAAAAGATAAAACGTCTGTCAGTGGTTATAAAAATTGATAAATTTGGCTGACTTAGGCCCTGTCTACAATAACCACTTTGAAACAGAATTATTCTTTATGGATTGACCTTCTGTCTACACTTATATCTGCTCAAAAATCACTTGAATATGTGACTTTTGGTAAACAGAAAAATGCTCACAAGCAAAAAGGAGAAGAAAATTATGCTACATGTGGAAGAGAATTTGTTTTCAATAGAATAAAAATTCTTTTTTTTYCCCAAAAATATCCATTTAACATGTGGATGAGGTCTCAGCATCGCAGACCCTTAATTTCTTCCTAAATAATACATTAACCTTGGTGCTAGAACAATAAAAAATTAATACCTGGTCTATAATGATTATAATTATCATAGAATGATTGGAATATGTCACTCTTACTAGCCTCTTAGAGCAGTATTTGGGTAATAGCTTAGTGCATTATTTAATGAATCAACTTATGAATTTATGAATGTTTCTCAATATTTCATACCTCTATGTTTGTCACCAGTTTAAAACTAGCTTCCTTCGCTATTGTTCAAATTATATCTCACATAGATGTATATATGATGTATCCAGCTACATCTAAACCTTTTGTTATCTATTACTTTTTGGAAACCTGTATGTGATAAGTAATAGGCAACACCACACACTGTGATTTCATTTATACATTTCATAAATCATAAAATTTTTGAACTCTAAAATATATATGTTATACATGTCCATAAAGTTCTCCTCAAGTCATCATGAGAAAACGTGCACAATAACAGAATACACATGTAAATCATGGAAAATCAGATTTTACTTAACTTTTTTGAAGTTCTTTAGTATGTTTTTTGCTTGCATTCTAATTGCACCACAAACATAACTAACAAAGTCACTACAGCCCCTTGTCTAAAAAGTTTTAGGGGATGCAAAAAAAGTGAAAATTATGAAGCACAATAAGAATTTGTGATATTGATAATGTGACCAAGACCTTCATGATCTTTTTTTTTTTTAGGATTTTGCTATATTTTACATACATCACATCACAACTGAACATTAATAAAAATACATAAGAAAAATCTTTTAGCATTAATTATTTAATGTTAATATATAACTTGTATCTTTCTAATGCTTTTCTTTTATATGGAGAAAGATTTATGAAAACTTGTAACATTAACTAAATGAAGTGAATTATCTTTATTTTTGTCATCATTATTAAACTTGATATTTTATATCATGATTTTGTGCAATATTTGTACAGAAATGTAAAATTTGCATAAAAACTAGCTTACAAGAACAAACACAAAAGACAATAAAGTATAATGATAAAACTCTGCATCTGGATTTATTAACAGGCTTTTATGCAGGACAATAAAAATACTTCCATGGAAAGTCAATCGATCTAAAGCTTAAGGTTTAATTTTGAATGATAATTTATTATATCTTAACACCATTATATGTGAGCTAGTAGATAACTCAGTTAAAAGGCTAAGAAATGGACAAAGATAAACAATCAAACATTGACGCAATGACAACAAACATCAATACACAGAAACTATACAAATGGTTTGGGAAACTTGAATTTAGGTACAGTATATTTTGTGTAAATTTGATCACACATTTAAATCTGAATGCTCTGATCTAATTTTGTCATACTGTATACTCAGCAAATACTAGTGTAAAGACATAGACAACGATATGTCAAACAATATGACAATGTTGTCACAGATGTCAAACAACAACAAGAAAGCTATACTCATGGATTTATTTAAAAGGGATCAAGTATTAAATATACAGGCCAAAAAAATCAATATTTCTTGAACAAAGATAATAGGCATTACCTCTTCTTAGCATTATTTGATTTCATTGGTTAAAATCCATAATGCAGGTTACAGTTAGATGTAGTTTGAAGGGTATTAATTCAACTCACTATATGATCATATGGGGACTAAAAGAAGTAATTACAGACTATACTACACATAATATTCATTAGTGCAGTCTGTAGGGTTTTTTAATCAGCATACTCATACTAAGTAGGCTATATATCTATAAAGAGAGAGAGTTGGCACCTATATGTTTATATCAGTGAATTTCACATTAGGGGTTCTCAAATCTGTCATCCTGCTATTCGTTTATCAAAATTCAGATCCTGTCCTGTGATGCTTTATGACTTGACATTCCTTACTTGTAGGGCATCCAGATAAAACGAAAATCAGTTTATGAATTTGCAAAAAGAAATGTAATTGGGTATCCCATTGCAAAGACTCATAATACCTAAATCCCCATGCCTCGAAAAAAAACTAAAATTTTGCTCCTGGTCCTAACTGAGAATCCTGCTTCCCGCTCTGTTTTAAGCTCACAATCTGAATCCACCTTTAAAATAAGGTAGATCCTGCATCCTACCAAACCTATTGTGTACCCTTAAATATGTGCCATCCTAAATGAATGCATTTCTTTTCAATATATATACTTTTTCAAAGTATTTAATTCAATATATTTATATTGAAAAAAACATATTGAAAAAAATATTTCCATAAAATAATTCTTTATATTTTAATACGTATTTATTCAATACAAATTGAAAAAATGTTTTCATTTTCCTTTTAAAGTTTACGCCTTAGAGAGAAATTAACTTAGCCATGTGTTCAACATTTTTACCAATCAAGTATTATGAGAAAATTACATAAATCCTTGACAATCGTTCATATTATAAGATACTTAAATSTAAAAATATCCTTGTATTGTCTTTCGATGGTTCGAGTCTTTTAATATTTTATGTGAAAGTTTTATACAAAGTTTGCGACGCGAGGCAAATAAATTCAAGAGGACAAATACGAAGATCATGTTCAGAACAAAAATGGCTTCTTTTAGAAATTTATATGTTATTTTATATATCTGTGATAACATATTCAGCATTGATTCTCGATGGCTAATAAAGGAAACATTTTTATAATGATAGGAACGGAGTATTGTGTCCTGGAATTTCYGTTAGGAATCCAATAATTGCGAGAATACTCATTTCTAAGAATAAAAATATCCTCAACGTATAAGCTGGCGAGTGCCAGTAAGTACAGTCAAACGTGAATGAAATATCAAAGATAATAATAAATAGAGCAAAAAGAAATGTAAAAAAGAAAGAAATACCTAAACTGTAATACCTAAATTGGACATAGGAATGAGAAATTTAGATTTACAGTAAGGATATTATCTTAGTGCAAAATGTCCGATCTTGTCATACTTTTGATTCATCACTCGAATAAAGGAAAAATGCAGATTAACTACTGACCTCTGCGCAAAATAAACTAACTAAACTTCCCCCTAAAGCAAATACTCATTCAAAATGTTGCTGGTTATGAAAACTATAGTAAGGAACGTAATATTCAATCATTATTGAGTGGAAAAACTCTTAACTATTTCATATACTTATCCACTAGTGAAGACCTCGAAGTGCCATACCTTAACTTTCAACTATGATAACTTCCAAAACATTTAATCAATCACACTAAAAGCAAATGATACCCTCAAAGGTGACAAAACCTACCTTCCCTATGGTCTTGAGCTTTAGAAAACGCTTGAAAGTAAATTATTTTCTTGTCAAAATAACGCGCCACTTCATAATAATACTCGCTTTTACTTACAAGACGCCATTTCGATTCGTATTATTTTCCTCCACCACGTGATAGCAATAGGGAATTTTGATTGGTTAGTCTTTCAAGTTGAATTCTTTTACTACCAGTTCTCTGTTTAGATTTGACCGCGAATTTTCTATCATTCGGATGGAATTTTCAAGAAAGCAAATAATATATAGACACATACGCGTTATGAGTATTTGTATAGGGTTATTGTCACAGATATTGCATTAATTCCAATCTTGTTAAGTTAATAAGTTCTCGATAATTCGAAGTATTGCTCTATTGCGCTTCTGTTTCAAAACAACCTCCAGTTAWTTGAGCTTTACATAAAAATTATTCAATTGTTTAAAATCATAGCCGGAACGGAATATTCTGCCAAAACAGCCTTTGTCGTCATAAAGTGCACTAGATCTACTCAAATTAATTCAAAATTCTATTGTAATCCAAAACAATGGTTTTAAAAAATTGTAATCTTTTTGTACCAGCCCGGCCACAAACACCGGATATGCTGCTAAGCAATGAACAAAGAATGGAAATATGTATGGAATGGGAGGGAATATATGATATCATCTTTCCTGTGCACTCCTCTCCTTCCATGAAATAAGATTGGGAAACTTTTTGTTTTTGACTGCCCAATAAAATGCACCGGCAAAAATAAAGCATTGAGTTCAAAGGTCTTCAAATACATCGCGTGATCAAAATGAATCTTGTTTCTAATCGGTTAGCTCAAGCAATCATTATTTACAGTATGAATTTCAAGAAAGGAAAGAAAAACTGACTCGTAGTGTTCATGGTTCCGAAGTGTCCTAACCGAACCAGATATAGAACTATATATTACTTAGACTAGTAAAAAGCACTGGATCAAAAGACGTTGGCACTGAGTACCTTCCAGTACCATTCCGTACTGAAGGCAAAATATAAAAAAAAACTATTAAAGACGAAATTAAATATTAACTCATGGTTGTTACTATTAAACAATATATAGACATTTTGTTCAAAGGAATGTGTGTATTTTGAAGCAAATTATAAATTATGAACTTAAACTACAGATCACGTGGCCCTACCTCCCTTGTCCCCCCTCCAAAACAAAAAAAACAAAAACAAAAAAAACAGAAATGAATAGACCATCTCGGCATTAGCAGGAAGGCAGAGGTTCAGCTTATAATAATCGAAACAGGAGAAATAGCATAGATATAAATTGAATATTTTATAAGGATGGGAAAATGTGCTGGATGGTAAGAAGCTTACAAGCCAACACTTTTCCCATACGAAGTTTTGTAAAATACTTGATTTCTATATTTAATGTCATTTCTTCTATATTTAACATTTCGAGCTGAAACATCGCCCTCTTACTAAGTTTGAAACGACTCCTTTTATTTCTGGAGTTCCTTTTTACTCATTGGCTCGTTTTGAGGGCTTCCACCTCGAATAGTTTTTTATTAATGCTAACTGCGATTAAGCAATTATAAAATCGCAGATCGTGTTTTATCGGGTTTGAAATCACGAGATATATATAGCTGCTGCTTGTTTCTGGTATGAAGAGATTTTAGTGCCACTGCGAAAAACGGCTGCAATGCCAAGTGGTCGGAAGCATAATTTAAAAGTTAAGAAAAAAAAGTTAATCGAAATTGAAAAAAACAAAACAAAACAAAACAAAACAAAACAAAAACAAAAAACAATGGAGAAAGCGGGAGGGGGGGGGGGGGAAGCAATCAAAAGGTGCTCATTATTTGCGAATTATATGCAATTAGCAGATCATGATGCAACACGGCTGTAGACAAAGGAAAAACGAGCACCTAGTTATTCAAATAGAGAAATAGAAAGAAATAATTAAGATCGTAACAAGCGCGGACTAAAATATAAGAACTTTCAAGAACATAAAATTCGTGACGGCTTATCGGTTCGTGGCATTCTCGATCAAGTCAGTGACGTAAATAATCTGCACAAGTACTGATGATGAACTCTTCCGTAAGATAAGATAGAAAATATTCGCCCAAAATTGAAGCTTATTAAAATATTTGGATAATCAGAGCAGAAGTATTGGTTTTCACACGCTTTTGCTTAGCGTGATTCGGTTTCCAACTTCATGCATGAGGTCAGACAGGTCTTTGTAACAAAATACGAGCACTTTAGCCTAGCTAGCAATATGACACGTACCTAAATGGACAAAAGCAGACCATACACTATGACTGATGCGGTTTCCTAATGGACACAGGCTGCGCAACTCCCCTTTCTCCGTCCGTACATTCTGCATATATATAATAAAAGGATTAGTTAAATACACCGTTATATAAATGAAGGAATTAAGAGAAAATACAAAAATGAAAAACAAAAATGAAGGAACAAACTCAGGAAAAAGAATCTGAAAAATAAAAAGAGTAAAAAAAGGATCCCACGATGATGAAAAAAGGCAAGCGACGAAGAAAATGTTAATGGAGAAATTAGGAAGAAATGTGGCAAAGTGGTGAAAATGATTCGCGCGAATTTGTGAAGGAAAACTTGCTTGCAGATAAATTTCGGACCGAAAAATGACAAATTTAACCAAGACTTATCAACAGCCAATAATCTCCGAATACGCACTACTAAAGATATCTGACTTATGTGATGTACTCCACTGCTACAGATAACTGACTTCATGTGATGTA